TCAATACGTCCACAACAGCTATACTCACATCACTGTTGACCACCAGCGAGTCGTTAGGGTTTGTATCACTTTATTAATGCTATACTATCAGAAAATAATCCTGGGTAATTTGGTTTAGTGATGCCTTTGGACCGGTTATAGGCGGTTGGCTTATGGAGGACTATGGGTACCGGTGGTCGACACTACCATTCTTTTCATTTCAACTATTTTTGGTAAATATTTTATTTTACTTATATATTATGTTGTGACTAATGCTTTGGTTTTAATTGTTGTATTAGATTATACTTATAATTGCTTATGTCATGTATAGCAAATATACAAAACATAAAATGTTGTTTAATCTAAACAAAGTCTACGTTGAATGTGTTGTTTTAAAATCTGTACAATTATGCAATAATGTAAAAATTATTTGAATATTAATTTTTATTGTATATTTTATTTATTACATTTGTTTAAAAATATTTACATAAAAATAATTTACATTTATAAAACCTTAGTAAAAGTAAATAAATTTGCTTTTGAAATAAGAATACATATAGAATTTTAACTATTTACTATAAAATTAGTTAATTCATCATAAACAACTTTTTCATCAGAATGCTTATGTTCAAAAATTATCAAATTATTAATTTTATTTTCAAAATTATTTGTGTTGTTAATGATTCATCAATACGAGGAACGGCAATGATATGCCTAAATGCCAATACTGTATAATGACATACAATTATTGTATGGGGATAACCAAGATTAACCTTAGATAAATAATTGTAAAATAGGTAGGGGGTTAATTTTAATTAGACATATTTGTACACAAAACCAGATAACATTTGAAATTTTTGTATTGCATATTGAATAGATTGACACGTGTTTTGGAAATAGTATTTCATTTGAATATGACATTTATAATTGCGATAAATTTATTGTAGAGTACTACACATGCACAGTATATTTGTTATTGAACCATGATTTTACAAATCTAAACTATATAAGATTCATTTATTTTAGTAAATATTCTACAGTGTTTTAATACTTTAATTTAAAGTAAAGTTATAATAAATTTATTTTATTTTTATTTGAATAATTTTTAAAATTAAATGAATCAAATTTTAATGTACTGCGATTTTAAAATATTTCTAGTCACCAATGTCGATTGTGATTTTTAAAATCAATTTAATATATTCTGTGTTTAAAGTGTAGCTGATTTATGAATTATATTTATTTTAATTTAGTATTTTAAACAATTATATATATTAAATAATAAGAATTTATTATAAAAATGACTGAAAATGATAATAAATTGTGTACAACTAATAGTAATTGTGACAATAAACATGTGTTCTCATCATGGGAAAAAATTAAAAATTTATTTCATAGTGATTTAACCCTGAGACAACGATATTTGTTGTTTATACTATGTTATGGATGTGTACTAACCAGTACGGCCTCATCACTGGACGGACCCTTTTTCCCAGCATGGGTCAGTTACCTATCATTTTAAAATTAATTGAATATTTAGTCGTGATTTAGTTAATTATTTTTAAAATCAAATATTAGGCGCATTCAATAGGTGTTAGCGAGACATGGATTGGTGCCATTAATGCTGTGATTAATGTGGGATTTATAACAGGATCAATTGTCGCCAGAAAATTTGTAATTAAATTCTATATTAACATTAATTTATTAATTAAAAAAATGTTATTAAATTTTCTAATAGTTAGCCCGATATAAACCCAAATATGTATTGAAAACATGTGTTTTGTTTTTTGGAATTTGTATTATGAGTTTCGGGTAATATTTGCTTACTTTATAGTATAACCAGTTTGTACAAGGTATATTATGAAAATAATTCTAATTAACTTTAGATCTCTGCAGTGGTGTTTAACACCATACACATTTATCCCTGTTGCAATGGTATTACAAGTATTAATAGGCTTACAAATGGGCACATATTTTATAACTTGCTATTCGATTGTCAGTTTAGAGTTTACGGATAATCTTCACTCCGTTTATGTAAGTTTTAATTTTTAAAAATTATTACTATACTTTATTTATATTATATAAATTTAGTCAAAATTAGAAATGAATTATTCAATTGGTTTAATAATTGGACCACCAATAGCTGGATGTTTATACCAAGTATGTTTTGACTACCGCTTCAATTTTTGAGTCAAAAATTATTTTGACTTTTCATTTAAATAATAAATATAAAATTCTACTTTATACCTGTATGCATTATATAGAATTATATTTTACTTTTCATTTTCATATATAGATAGGAGATATATGGGGATATGGCTTTTGTTTGCCATTCTTTGTATTTGGCTTATTGTCTATCATAACAGCAATTATTTTACATTTTTCTATCAAAAGCGATGGTAAACATCAAAGAGTTGATATTTCATAAAATTAATCACAAATATTATTTAACAAATTATAGAATTATATAGAAATGTCGAGAATATAACCTACCTACAATTAATGAAAAATCCGGCCATACTAGTGAATGCTTTATTAAACACAAGCGCCGGCATCATTATCGGATTCAACACTACCACACTGACCCTGCACATTATCGCTGTATGAATTATATACCATATAAATATTCATTATAAGTTAGCTAATGACCATTTTTAATAGATTAAATATCTGTCAACTGTAATCATTGGGCTCATATTTTTCATATCTGGTGCCATGCTATTTATTTTTAACTTCATATTTGGCAAATTGGTCTCAAAAATGAAAAATTGTTTTTATTTAAGCATGTTTGGCTCCCTGTCCATTCTTATAGGAGCCATTATCATTGGACCCATACCTGGCATCCCCATTGACCAGTAATTAATATAACCCCATGTGCTACCAATCAAAATATTAAATTTTATTTATTTAATTTAAACAGAAATATGGGGTTTGTACTAATAGCACAGGTATGCTTTGGTCTGGGCATTAGTGCTATACTCGTGGGCACATTTGCACAGGCATCTCGCGAAAAAATGTATGTACTATTTTATATCAAATAATTTTCGTTATTAGTAAATTAAGGTTATAACAAGGTTGAAACTTGATATTAAAATTAATTTAAATATTATGATATTTATTGAGTTTATTAAAAAAAACTTTTCATTGTTTGCAGTCATGGGGTAATAGGTTGCGCGTCCACCACATCCATACTCTCATCCCTATTCACTATATTTGAATCATTGGGGTATTCATTCAATAATTTTGCTACTTGGTAATAAACATTTAATTGTTAAAATGTTGTTTATAGCGATTTTATTGGTCCTTTTATTGGTGGATCAGTTATGAACGCTGTTGGTTATAACTGGGCTACAGTGCCGTTATGTGTGTTTCAAGCAGCGCTGGTATGTTATTTTTCTCGTAATTTAGTAAATTTTATATTAACGCTAAATTTTTATAATTATTTTAGATATGTATATTACTTATATTTATATTGTGTCCACGACATTCAACGTCTGATTCAAATGTTTTTGAATTTAAATTATTTAGACGCACATTAAGTATTGCACAAATAGTCGAATAGTTTTTTTAATTAGCTTTTGATATTTGTTTTTAAAATTAAATGATTTACGAAATTTAATGAAATTTATTATTTATTATATTATATTGTATAAAAAACATTTTAGTATTATTTTGTAAGTCAGAAATAAATTTAATAAAATAAAATAAATATTTTATCACCATAATAATTTGTATAAAACATTGTATAAAATAATTTATGGATATAATGTCTGTTTTGAAAATTAATATTTAAATCATAAAAGTCATAGGACAATATATTGTCATAGGACCTATAACACATGATATTTTAAAATAATTTATTATACACCAAAAAATAAATTTAGTTACATTTTAATTTATAAGGTACTAAAATTGCGAACTTAATATAAATTTATATTATTATTTGTTTTATTAATTTGTTTTCAAAACTTTTATTATTACCACAATTATTATTATACTAATAATAATAATTTCTGTAAACATTATACTTCAAATTAAAGTACATTAAGCTATCATTAGGTGCCCATGCACTAAATGTATTATATACTAGTACGGTAAAACAATTTTGAACTTTATCATAAGCATACTTTTATTTGACAATATTTGCCAAAAACTATTTAATTAAATAAAATTATATTAAATTCAATTATTATATTTCTATTACTGTAGTGATATTTTAAAATAGAGTAATTATTATTGTCTAATACAATAGTTTAGTGCATATAGCAATAATTATGCATTATAACTTTAAAAAAGTTTACCTAATTTTCGTTAATTTGTTGAAATACTATTAAAACGTATTTTATTTGTAAAACAATAAAATAAGTTATTGTCGCACTTATAAAATTACTAGTAAGCGTGTATTATGAACTATGTCATACGACATTTACAACCGTTCTCGCATTTATTACTCTATTTTTCTAACAAAAAAGCTATAAATTAAGTTTCAATTCTCACTTTACACTAAATAACAATAACTTCATACAAGTTATGTTCAATAGTTTGGCGTTAAATATAATAAACAAACGAAAAAATGATTTTTAAACTACTATTGAGTGTTTGTATTTTGCAAACAATGGTTAACTCGTTGGAAGCGAATGACAAGAATTTATACAAAGCCTGCACTTCAGACACTGTCTGCCAGAGCGCCGGTAGTCCCGAAACCCTACAATCTCTGGTATGCTCAGAGCACGGACTGTGTGCCTGTAATGAGGACGAGGGATATGAGGACATGGAGGGTATCTGTACGTTGAGTGCCGACCCCTACGGAAAGGGCAAGAAGTGCAGTGACTCTAAGCCCT